TCCTTAACTTCATTATGAGCATGCTCAGTTGATGAACAGATTTCATTGGAAACTTCAAGTTGATGTTGCTCATTATCAAAATCACGAGAATCATTTAGATCACTCTGATTGTTGTGTTCTTCGTTTGGTAAGTTTGCATCTCCGAGCTGCTTATGATCACGGTTTTCAGAAGACGTATCAGGATACCTCCCATTGGTTGGATTTGAGGTCCATTCTCCTGTGTCTGGAAGAACAGCATTATGACTTGAGCTGCCAAATTCTTTGTCTTCCGAAGACTTATCTTCACTCTTCTCATTGTTTTGCTCTGAGAAGCATTCTCCCGAGTCAGGGAAAGTAGCCTTTGGACTTAATCTGCCAAATACATTGCCCTCTGAAGACTTCCTCTGATCTCTCTCATTTTTTTGGTCTGAAAAAGATTCCCCTGAGTCAGGAAAATTAGCCTTAGGACTTGAGCTGCCAGATTCATTGCCTTCTGAAGATTTGCTCTGATTCCTCTCATTGTTTTGGTCTGAAGAGCATTCTCCTGAGTCTGAAAGACACGCATTATGACTTGAGCTAGGTTCTTTGTTTTCGGAAGACTTATATTCACTCTTCTCATTGTTTTGGTCCAAAAAGCATTCTTCTGAGTCGGGAAAATTAGCCTTAGGACTCGAGCTGCTAGATTTATTGCTTTCTGAAGATATACTCTGATCCCTGTCATTGCTTTGGTCTGAAGAGCATTCTCCTGAGTCCGAAATACTTGCATTATGACTTGAGCTGCTAGATTCTTTGCCTTCGGAAGATGTATCTGTACTCTTCTCCTTGTTTTGGTCCGGAAAGTATTCTCCCAAGTCAAGAAAGGTAGCCTTGGGAGAACTTTCGCTGCTAGATTCATCGCCTTCTGAAGATTTTCTCTTATCACTCTCATTGTTTTGCTCTGAAGAACATTCTTCTGAGTCTGGAAGAGTTACATTATGACTTGAGTTGCTAGATTCCTTATCCTCAGAATACTTATCTTCATTCTTCTCATTGTTTCGGTCAGAAACGCATTCTCCCGAGTTGGGAAAAGTAAGCTTATCACTGTCGCTGCTAGATTCGTTGCGCTCTAAAAACTTACTCTGATCCCTCTCATTGTTGTGGTCTGAAGAGCATTCTCCCGAGTCAGAAAGAGTTGCATTGCGAGTTGAACTGTTGGATTCTCCATCTCCAGAAACGTGATCCAGTTCAATCTTCTGAGCTGCCATAGTCTTATTCAAGCTAGAGCTCCTGCTTCTCGTTCCATTTATTTGACCTTTTGCTGCATTCAGGAGGAGAATTTAGAAAAATAATACCAATAATGAATTCAAAAACTTAGTAGCAAGATGTGAAAGTTATTATCAATAAAAAGACAGATGAAAAAGAGGGAGCTCAATTACTCAGAAGAATGTTGGTTTATAAAAGAAAGAAAAAAATACTCAGAATGTTGAATCTATAGTACCCTAGTAACTAGTAAAGGGTGGATGCAATTGCGGTAACATGCTAATTCAATGTCTTAAGTTAAACATTTTAAGCAATCCAAGAACACCAATTAAGTCTTTTAATCTGTTATGATTTGAGAAAGTAATGACAAATATTTACGAAATCTTCTTTAATTTTTGGCCACAGAAAGATCTTTATCAACATGCTAGAGAATCCGTATGCTGAAAGGAATTAAACAACAAATTAAGAAGATAGCTAGATTAATGAGATGATGATTTGTTTACCTTGGAGAGTGGCACCGCATCCACCACATTTGTAGACCTGAAATTCTGGCAACTCTGGAAGAAGCCGCCGGCATTTAGGACATCTAACCAATCGAAGTTTAGTGGTCAATTCAGGCGCCATAGTTTGTCCCAAAAACAAGAAACAAAAACTTGGGCTTCCAGCACAAAAGTCCCAAACTTAACAAAAAGATTCAAGCATGACGATTAATTTGTCCTTGTTGAGAAACATGAGGCTCAAACAACATCTGCAATGTAAACATAAACAAAAGATGAACATGGCATGCATCAGAACAAATGCTAAATCTCTAAAAAGAATGGGTTTTTTAGATCCATGAAAGTAAAGGGTATCTCTAACAAGCCACAAGCTAAGAAATTAAAAAGACAAACATGAAATTCTGAATCACAATTCGAGCAAATTAAGGAAGCAGTACCTTTTGAACTGTAGTGAATATAATAAGAAGTAAACACAGAGAGAGATCCAAAAAAGAGAGATAGACAGAAGAGGAAATGAATTTGTTTTATTTTAAAAAAGAAGAGTTGGGGTTGTTTTTGGGTGAAGAAGGCAAAGGGAGGTGTTTGGCAAAATGTGGAAAAGAAAAAATATTGCAAAAAAACAAAATCTTGTCTTTGGTGTTTACCAAGCTCAAAGCGTCAAAGTCTGAAAATGAGCAGCTCCCATGTCTGCTCTTGTAGTTAAAGCTTTAGTCTTTTTTTTCAAACAGGGGAGGAATGAGGACGATTGAGAATTGGTCTTCTTCTTTTTCGTAGTGAAGAAGCTTCCTGGTCAAACCACTGTTGACCGTGAGAAACACGGGAAGCTGAAGACCAGAGAGAGGAGAGAGAGAGAGAGAGAGAAAGGGAGTTATGTGATATCGCCGCCGACCTTATTTAAAGAGTCAGTGTCGACGTGTCATCTTATTACTAACTCGTCAAAATTCAAATCAATTAATGAAGGCAACAAAAAGCTCTGGCCTTTCCCTGTTTAGTGTATTCGCATTTTGTTTGGCCAGAAAAGACCAACCACTACCCTTCCCTCTCTCCACCACGACCGTTATCTTTCGTCTTTGATCCATTTTCCAATATTCCAAAGTCAAGTCAACCATTCTTATCCCCTTTATTACCATCTTATTTCTATCTCTCTCCTCAAATAACCAATCAAAGAATGAGAACGATAAAAAGAAAAGGGTAATAAAATCGGAATATGAAAGTATTTTTCAAGTGGGAGCCTCCTTCTATGTACATATGTCTCCGAATATCATATATTAAAAAATAAAACGAGAATATATAAATATTTTTCGAGTGGGAGACTCCTCTTTATATCTCTCGTCATTTAACACATTTAAAAATAAAAGAAAGAAAAAAGGGTACAATAAAACGAAATTATGGAAGTATTTCTCAAATGGAGCCTCCTCTCTCCTCCTATTATTCTGGGTCTTTTTCTGGGAAATCAAAGGTAAATTTCACAATTAAAAAAGTCTCACATGCTAATATAGAAACTCAACAAAAAGCTTCAAAGTCAACCTTGGAATTGTATGGGAGTGTGGGGCACTACTTAGCTGTCACTGACACGTGGCATTCAGTGTGCTAGGTGGTACGCATTTTTATAATGCTACTCAGAGTAGGTATGTTTTTTGGGTGGGTCCAATTTTTGACTTTCCGGGTAAAACAAAATAATTAAAAAAGAATAATTAGGCTAATTTTCCCTCCCTCGTGCTGCCGCCGAGAAAACGACATCAGCCGCTCCCGCTTGAAACCTGGGCATCCCATTCCCATTCACAACGCTTTGATTTTCTTTCTTTCTTCCAGTCCAATCCAATCCAATCCAATCCAATGACGACGCAAATCAATATTGGGTTCAGGGACATTACTGACATTTCAGCTCTGGTCAAACTTGGTATCTTCCTCGTTTGCCCTTTTCTCTTTTTAATTTCTCTCCTCCCAAGGTTCTGCTTTGTGTATGTCTTGTCGTCCTTCTTGGTAATTCACAAATTATGGTCTTTACAGAAATTGCATTCAAAATTCCAAAGACGATTCTATTCTATGCCCTACCATTGGCATTTGCATTGGCTTATGAGATCTCTAACTTTTACCTCCCTCTTCTTCTTTTTTCCAATTATTTTATAGAAGCTCACGCTAGACATTATCATTCAACTGTCGTCATGTTTTTTTTTTTCCTTTTTAATATCGACTGGTAATAACAAACAAACAAGCAAAATAAATTTAAAGAGTTTGCAGCTCATGTGATTAATTGTTCTATCTGCACTAAGGTATTAAGTTCGAGCATTTATCTCTACAACGAGATCTTAGATTCAGTTTCTCCCTCCAATATCGTTTGTATTCAAAAATAATAATAATAAAAATAAGCTAAACATATGGGACTTGCTTTTACATTTAGCTTAGAAGCTCACAAATTAAGTAATTTTGCATACAAATACAAATGTGTATTACTATAAACATTTTTTTTCTTTGGGTTGTGTTGTGTGATACAAGAAACCCTCAAATGCCCGCCATTGAGTTTTACATGCAATCAATTTATATAATAATTATAAGCATCGCATAGGTAGGCATGACCAAGTCAAATCTAATTGCGGGAGAAAAAAGAAAGCGTAAATGAATAATAACAATAATTCCAATTCGGGAAACTTATGAAAAAATGGAACAAAACTTCAAACATAAGAAACACAAACACATCATGCAAGAAAGACAAAGTGAGCCTCAGAAAACATACTTAAACTATTTTGGGAAATGATATTAATAGCAATAACATGCAACCATAATCTAAAATATTGATAATATCGACGAAATATCGAGAATATTTCGGTTTTTTTGAATCACGGATATTTAGGAACATATCCTTGTACATATCGTATAAATATCGACAATATCGACGATAATATCAGAAAATATCGATGTCGATAATTTCGCTCACTTCAGCAATATTTTGTCAAAATATCGGTGTAATATCACTAAAATATCGAAAATATCGATGTAAAGGGAAAAAAAAAGGAAAAAGAAGAAGAAGAAAAAAAAGGAAAAAAAGGGAGGAAAAGGGAGGCATGTTAACAATTAACCTCCAACACCTTAACCACCATATATCAGTTATGTTTTAGTGATAATATGCTAAAATATTTATATTTATATGGGTGACATGTTAACAATTACATGCAAAATTATTTTTGGGATTTATCATTTGATGAATACTCTTCACAGTACACTTACTCTACACATAGAGATGATGAAGATAGTAAAAAATTTGAACCTCATAGAAACTTTATGTGGTACTAAGTCACTCATGTATCTTACCATGCAATGTATAAAGTGTAAAATATTGTAGTAAATCATTATATATAAATGATTATGGTGTGTTTAATCTTTTTTTTCATTAATTACTACATATTTTATACACTCACAGTGTTTGCTAGCTCGCTGTATAATATCAATTAAATCCATCATGTAATGCATTTCCTTCTAAATTTTTTTATAAACTAATAGATAATTGACTAAATAAACATTCTCCAAAGTTTCAATAAAAATTTCCAAGTTTTTCTTACAATTTCCTTATTTTTATCCAAGTTTTATCGATATCGATAATATCCCGATATTTCCATCGAAATTTCCATGTTTTTGGACTATCGCTATTTCTAATATCATCGATATTTTAGACCATGCATGCAACACAACTCGACTGTCTTGGGAAATTTTCTCTTGAAGATATCAAGAGTTGCTATAGGGTTTTCTTGTTTTTAATTTTTTAACAAGGTGGTAACAAAGCTGTAAACAAAATTGAATAAATCGAAGGAAACATAAAAGCCAATACATTAAATTATGGTATATTTGGAAAACAAAAACTAGCTTGTGTGAATAAAGAAAGTAACACATGTCATGATGAAAAAAAAGAAGATTAGAGATAGGATGAATCCAATAACTGCAGTGAGTTGTCCCTCACAGGTCCTCAAAAAGAGGTGCTCAAGTGAGCACTTCTGACTTGATCATTAATCGTTTTAAATTTCAAATTGATGGGTCAACATTTTTCCTTTTCTTTATATCAAATCTTCATATTTCATCATCTTTATGGTTCGTATCAAAGAAATAATAATCTTTATGATTGGAAATTAATTTGTTCAAAGGGCAAGAAAACGTTTTTGCTCCCTATAATTCTTGATCCTTATGTTTTTGTGAGAAATAAATCTACCTATATGTTTCAGGTATGTATGCCTCTAGGTAAATTAGTATACCTACAACAACAACAAAAAACAAAAAAAACAAAAAAAAAAGGTAGATATTCATTTACCTAGTTCAATTGCTTGTTAGGATTTGATTGGATTGGATTGGATTGGATAATCATTAAATTTAAGGTATGTTGGAGGAAATGAAGGTAGATGTGAAGTATTTTTTTATTTTATGGAGATTAGAAGAAAATAACCTACATGGTGTTGATATCCTATTATTTTGTGGGAATTTCATGAGATAAGTTTTCTTCATGAGTAATCCATCTTCTACCTTCAACTTGGACAATATTTCATCATTTCCTCCTTCAACATGCCTTATATATAGTGAGTTTCCAATCCAATCCAATCCTAAAATGAAGTATTTTTCATTTTAGGGGGATTAAAACAAGTAACTTATAATGTGTTAATATCCTACTATTTTGTGGGGATTGCATGGGATAATAAGTTTCCTTCATGAGTAATCCATGTTCTATGTACCTTCAACTTGGACAACATTTCGTCATTTTCATCCTTCACACATGCGTTACATATAGTGAGTTTTCCAATCCAATCCAATCCTAGTTACCAAACATGACCTTTTGTCCTTAAGGATTGAAGTTTATCCTATCACTATACCATGTTAAATAGTAGCATACCTTCATACTTTCTAGACATGAGAAGTGAGAAACAAAGAGAATAATAAAAATAGAGATAATGTTGAAGAGAGTGTTTGTTGTGTTAGAAATGTTTCTCCTTAATATTGGTGGAGATTTGTGGAAGGGTTGGCTTACCAATTTTTTTAAGGATTCTCGTGATCAACGTGAGTGTAGTTTATGTAATTTGTTCTAAAAGTTTTCATTTTGTCTTGTTTGGTACCCATTTTAGGTCCCAATAGCCATATAATATTGCACATATACAAATACGATACTTCTCACTGTATATGATTTGAACAATTAGCATCATTTTTTCCCTAGAACCATAGAATCTAAGATAAATATATATTGCTTCAGATGGACAGAAAGTGGTTGTTTCTGATGTGGAGGTTGAGAGCTTGGATGGAGTCAAAGAAGATGCCAACAATTCCGAAGCCCAGGTTAGATTTTTGTACTCCTTTTCTTCTAAATCTCAATTTTGTTTCGTTAAAATATAAATTAATCTAATCTACGGGAAAGTTGTGCCAACTTGGTGCACATATAATTAGGGAACAAAATCAAAATGCCAGTCCAAAATGCAGTATAGCATAATTTATTCCAAAATGCAGTTTTCAGAAATATTTCTTATTAATTGATTCATTCATGGCTCCAAAGGGAGACAATGTTTTAGTTTCAAGTAAAAAGCTGGAGAAGATATTTTGCATGAAAGGAGGCAAAGGAGACTCCAGCTATGCCAACAATTCCAAAGCGCAGGTATAATTAATTACTCCATTATTCAAGATTTTCTCATTCTCTTGTTCAATTTGCTTAATTATTGTGTTGTGTCCTTCATTTTTCAGGCCATGCATGCAAGATCCATGCTTCACCTGCTTAAAGAAACCCTAGACAGAGTGCAGCTGAGCTCTCCAGAAGTT